AGACAATAGAAGAAGATGCGTAGTTGAGTGGTTTCTTTCTCCGCCTGTTATCCAAAACATCTTCGCACGGAGGTCAGTAAAACAGTTGATTACCAGCTCTCTCTGCCGCTCTCTCTTTTTGTATATATATTCTGATTTTTTATTTAAAATCTCAACATAAATGCACTAAAACTGGATACTCACGAGGAAGTCGTCGGATCACGTTCGCCAGCTGTTCAAGACTACGGCATCCAGTGAAATCTAGAAACACACGGATTTGTTCGTTTTTCCACATCAAACTCTGTCTCGCCTGGTCGCGACCGAGCAAACGATCAGATTGAGAGGGGTCACAGTTGTCTTTGAGCAAAGCAGTTACGAACGATTTCAATACAGTCCACGAGTTGGCGGTGCTCGTTCGTGAAACGTCTAGCAGGTGACTGTTTTTAATGAGAACCACAGTGTTGCGATCAGCCGCTAAGATATGAGAATAGGGGGTGAACGAATGCATAATGAGGAGGACATTTTGACACACTAGGAATGAAGAAAGTGGACAATAGCAGGATAATTCAATTCGCAAATAGTATTCTAACAATTGTTCAGCTATCGGACATTTTCACATTTTCTGATTGGTGCTGGATCGGTGGTCACCATAAAAAAACGACTACTGTGGTGCTTCCATCGCGAAACTGAATCGAGAACTTGGAGTGCTTCAATAGTTTTCGCTCAACTTCCGGTATATGATTAACCATATTTGACAATCAGATTGTTTGAAGCAAGTTCGCATTAGCCACCTGTAAATGACGTACCTTAGCCTTGAACTATCCCGTTTATGTTGTTCAGTGGAAGAGTGTTTTAATCGGACTATATAACCCAGCTAGTTCATGCTCCGAAAGATGCATTTAAAAAAAACATTCCAATTTTTGAACTTAGAATTTCTCAAAAAAATCCATAACTACCATAAAATGAATGGTATATTTCGACAGCCCTCGTTATGTTATTACAATTGCCATTGGGATGATAAAGATATCTTATTCCATTCTGGTTGAATTGTTTTTAAGGCTTCCGTGGCGAGATGGAACATAGTTTGTAGGCGTCGCACATACTGAGTGAGGATGTGACTAAAAATTATGCGTATATCGATCGAGCCGGAACGATTAGTGTCCTATTGCAGCCGTTTCAGGTGTATCTCGTGAACTCCGCTACAGCATCAAGCGACGGACGTAGGCAGTGACGGAAGCTTTAACCACACATGAACCACTGGTTTCAACGGAGCATGGCCTGATATAACTTTTCGGGAAGGGGGACGAACAAATACACAGACAGATGGATACGAAAGCGTAAGCGTGCCATTGCAGGGTAAACAATCAAGATATTTCAATGGAATTGAGGCTTATGTGACCGAGATCTGTCTCACCACTGTGCATGAAAATGAGGTTGAGAAATCTGTTCTACACGGTCGATATCCAGACATCGCTGAGAGTCATGAACAGTACATCGAATTGACAGCGCCGATGAGATCAACGAGACAGTTTGAACTCGTACAGAAATTTACCATCGGAACCGTTCATTCGACATATTTCCAGTCCCAAAGCATGAAACCAGTACTATCACAAATGTCTCACCACAGAATTGAGTCTTCGAAAACCCTGGAGAACACGTATTAATCAGTCTGTTGACAGGTATACACTAAGTATAATAGTGTAGACAAAAAATCCCATATGACCAAACCGTTTCTCATTTTCAATAAACACGATATCGCATAACCTACTTTGGCGAGCTTGTGGCGGACATCACACCTCACTCATCTCAGCACTAGCCTCCGGGGCGTGATCAGCTGCCCAGTGATCGAGGTATGTTTCAATTCTAGCTTACGGGATGATGCAAACTACCGGGGGCGGCACTTCACAGTTTTCAGACAACTGTGATGAATCAAGCTTCACAGATGATGCCAACAAAGTGCCTCCAGCGTTACCGCTTCTGGACAACGAACCATAGGTCAATTGTGCCCACCAGTCAGAAACCGTACGGTTCAGACAGAAGCTGTACGCCGCCAGAAATAGAGCACGCCATTAGTAGATGTCTGAATGCCCAATGAACTTCTTTTGTACATGTGATTTTATCCCCTTGATTTCTTTTAATAAATGAACTGCTATTTCTGTGGCCTTTTGATCGCGTCTCGGTCGCATGGGATACCGTCGTGCAAGTGCCAGTGTGATTCAGTGCTTCCGCGGCGCCCGTGATTCCTATTACGTGGTTGCTAATTACAAGTAGGCAGTATATTTGCGTGAGGTTCCGGGTTCTATCCCCAAATGGTTAGATTGATTTGCACTACTGATGAAACCCAACCGAGTTGAATCAGCTTTCCAGTGCTTCCTAGCTTTTCAATTCAATCAAATCCTCCATTCCTTTTATAAAATTTAAAAAATTAAAAAATAAAATTTAAAATTTATTGTGGATTCGAAACAATCAATCAATCATAATGAACTGATAAAGAAAAAAATGCACAGAAGTAACATGCACCAGTGAGCGGTATAAAATAAGAACTGAGATTAATACAATATGATATGATAGCATTTTCCACGTTACATAGCACAATAGTATAAGACAAAGTAAATTCCTGAAAGACTGACTTACTTAAATTGTAGTTTTCCGCATTTTCACTAGGACAATCGATAAGGTCAATCTCAACTGTAACCCAGGAAAGCTGCTTGGCCCAATCCCTTAAATAATCCAAAGATGCTTGTTGCGTAGTGGATAATATTTCGACGTCCAATGGCTGTTCACCTCCAACACTCCAACTGCATAATTCCGGTAAACTTCTGGGTATGAGAACTAGAGTGTGTGTGAGAGAGAGAGAAACTATGCATCTTGAAATGTAAACATGCGAGAAGAGCGTATATTCGGGAATGAACGGTTAGACTGTATTGGTGTACACCAGAGCTTTGGTATGTCTAATAGCGCCACACAATCCCCACCCCCTCCCCGGTAAAAGAAGTCGAAATCTCAAAGAAATCCAATCCAGAACATCGGTTCTATTAATGCTAGTTTTAAGCTATAAACTACTAAACGGCAAAAATTCATAATTTTCACTTTTTGCACGTACAGTAGTTAGAAAAGATGACCTCATGTTGAAAAATGTTTTTAATTTGTCTACTTTGGGGTGTTGGAGGTAACGATACACACTGGTTTAAGTGAACAGTTCCACAATGTTTTATTTACCTTTAAGAAGAATATTTTACCGCACTCTCTTGGTCTCCTAAATTTAGATCTTCTTGAAAATCCAGGATGTCCGGGTAAGTTTATTGCTTTTCAAGAATGTTGAATGTATGTATGAGAATTGAAATGTATAACACTAGGCATTCCGTTCAGTGCGGTCAACCAATACTGTTTTCTGACCACGAAATTCCCCATTGGATTATCTCGAACAGTGGCGTAGACAGCAGAGTTCGGTTTAGACGATTCCTGATTTCACCGGAGAGGTGATCAACCATTCAGTCGAAAAACCTTATTTGTTTGGCCAAACCAAGCGTTCCGGTTAGGTTGGCGGGTTCCACTCAGTAAACTTTGAATCATGTGTAGCTACAGGAACAACCACACTCCCGCGAGCACACTAACATTATTTCCGTTCATCATTGCCTCCGGTGCCGTTCTTTTTCCGCTCCTTTTTCTCTCATTATTTTTCTTTATCATTTTCACTTACTTTTCTTGAATATATAAAATACAGTTTTCAGGAAAAGAGAAGCGGCTAATCCAAGGATTGCCATACAGCACTACTTTACATTTACCCGAAAATCGGATATCCACATCAGTAAATACCATCCCAGTCATGTTATAACACGATTCACTTTACCAAGTTTTCCTTTAAGAAGCAGATTTGTGCAATAATGGTCAAATAAATTCCTCTTCGACTCACAACTATCCACTTTTCATCTGGGTAACTATGATTCTCATCTCTCATGGATTAGACTCCAACTTTCATTTCGAAGTCATCAAACCTGTGTTCTACCGATGATTTAACTGTACTTATTGATAACCTCTCACCTGTTTGATCGCTGCCGTTGAGCAAGTGTGGTGATCCTGGCCTACGAGATGACGCATATCACGGAGTGACACGTTACAGTTTTCAGACAACTGTGATGAATCAAGCTTCCCAGGTGACACAAGCAAAGCGCTGACGTGTCACAGCTTTTGGACTACAAACCATAAACTAACAGTACCAACCAATCAGAAGCCTTGAGGCCCAGACAGAAACTGTACGACGCCAGAGATACTAGCACACGATTGGCAGAAGCATGGATGACCAACAAACTTGTTTAGCATATAACATTTAGACTTCATGATTTCTTTCAATGAATGAACTGCCATTTTTGTGACCTTTTCCTTACGTCTCGGTTACGTGGGCTACTGTCGTGCAAGTACCAATGTGATTCAGTGCTCACGTGACGTCCTTTATTTCTGACACGCAATTCGTATTTCCATACAACACTGCTAATCCTACATCCCATCCTTCTTGCTAAACATGCACTGAATGTACTACCATCCTGTGCTCCTATATATGTAGCCACTGTCTACACCAGCTCCCATCCCTCTCTCTCTCTGTACGCACTGCTTGAATTGCTGATGTCATGTCCATGATGTGGCTGTTGATTTTACCCCCGACCATGGTAGCTCAACTTCGAATATGTTGGATATCTTCTCACAATCCATGCACATGTTCCTACCCGGATTTCTCCAAACCCGATCAGCTAGTATTTCCCGAGGGGTTCTCTCACGTATCTCTATTATCTACAATCGTTGGCATCTGTTCCGAATCAGATCGTCCAATAACATCTATTTGCTGACCTGTAACAAATGAATAAACAGAAAGCGGAAGTCTTATTTGTGTCGTAAAGTCGGGCATTGGAATCTGTTAACCGGTTCGTTTTAGTTCATCGGCCAAGACATTTCTCCTATTGGATTTTGTCCATCCCTATTTCTTTTCATTCTTGACCAATGAGGAAATCGCATTTGAAGCTCACGGAAGAAATTCTGCTATGTTTGCTTTCATTTTTTGCCATCAATCCGACTCTGTTCTGTATACACTTTCACGTACACCCGAAATAACCGTAATGAGTATCACTCGGCACTTCCCTATATCTGTAATCTCCCCAGGCAACCTTTGTACGGCCACAGCTCCCTTCCCGAATGTGGACTGTACATTTGTATACTCCATAAATAGAGAAAGGAAGTAAAAAGACATTTGAGTTAATTAAAAAAAATTAAAAAACAACCCTTTTATTAGTTGGCATATGCATGGCACATAGTCATTTCAGGAACTCGTATAGTAGGTCCGTGGTTTGCTTCTTTGTTTGCTTGCCATCCGCGTAAAATGTTACCACAAAAATGGTTTGGTCCAGCACTCAGTCGTACTCTAGTTGGGGAAATAAAACAGCAAGGGGATAAGTTTTGTTATTTGGGCAGCTACATCTCATCCAGTGGACGAGTCACGGATGAAGTGTCAGCCCGCATACAGAAAGCTCTGTTGGCATTTGTCAACTTGAGATATTTGTGGCACCGTCGTGACATCCGACTGACTGTGGACGGTCGAGTATATCCCGCAGTAGTTCGGCCAGTTCTGCTATATGGAGGAGGAATTTGACCAGTAAGAAAACAGGATAAAGACAGACTGTCGGTGTTTGAACACCCCTGTCTGAGGTTAGTGGTAGAGTTTTGGGTATCCGCGGTCGCCCACTGGAGCAAGTGGTCGACCTTCATAGATTACGTTGGTTGGAACACGTGTTACGCATGTCACCAGATAGGTTACCACGGCGATCGATGTTTCTCGAAGCAGACACCGAGTGGAAAAAAGTCAAGGGTGGTCAAGCTAAGACCCGGCATGNAGGTCCTGTTAGGCTCCCTGACTGGGGACCTCGGGATGATCGTACTCGATGCTGAGAGACACCGAGTGATATGGCTGATTATCCTAAACAGTGCGTTCGTGCATCTTGTCAATTTCTTTGTAACATTAGTCCACTGAAATTCTAAATTTTCCCTTTGATCCTACTTTTAACCTTTCCTGCCTTTTTCCATCTGGTTCATCCAAATGGACAGCCAAAAGGAAGCAACCAAAACCGGCGTACGATAGGGCTTATACAAACTGAATCTGAAACTGAACTTGCCAACCGTGTTGACGAGGCTACTTCAAGTATTCGTCGTGTACACTGGCTTTCTGCCAGGTACCTTGTTGTCGTTTACGCTACTTTTATTAGTTATTATTGGTCTTATATTATCCATTTTCAACCGAATCCAGACTCTGTCGACGAGACTAGTCCTCTCACCTCTTGATCACATTCAACACCTCGCACTGCATCACATCGTATACCTATGATTGATCAGATATTTTCACATGCCAATGGACTTCAATTGCGACGGGATTACAATCTGGTATTTAACATCTTCAGAACAGCTTGTTTACCTGTTTCTGTGAAATCTGATATCATAATACTGTTCCATGAATTCTGGATATTTCTCCTTCAGTTTCCCATCTTCCTCTGTTCCGTTTGGGTTTCCTTCGTTGTCTTCGCTTTATTGAATTCCGCATAGATGGAAATTACTAATCTAAGGCAATTAGGGTAGAAAACCATATGTAAACCATATATGGTTCTGGTGCCAGGCCGAGTTGGATGATTGCTAAGCCATCGACCTCGGAAGTGGAGTGTGAAGAATAGGATTTTAATTTTGAATGAGAAAAATCACTGCACCGAGTTATCACCATCGTTGCGGTTACTTAATATTTTATCCTTTTCCAACGAACAGCTCCAATTATGTGGGAGCAGTTTCGTTTCGTATTTTGGTTGTTTTTTTGGCAATCGCAACACCACAATAGTTACAGATCGTCAGGAGTCACTTTGCCGCTATTTCCTGTAGCCGGTGTCTTGACACTGTCATGCTTATTGTTTCCCTTAGCACACTGTATTCTCTGCAACGAGGTATGAAGAAATGCACAGAACGATTGGGTAGAATAGATGTCTGCTGTCTTCCAGGTTGGGGTCCAAAAGACTCTGCAGCTGGCTGGTTGGAGACACTAAAGGATATGACGACTAACCGACAGCAGTGGCGTTCTTGTTGTCTGAAAGGGTATGCATGCACACTTAGATTGTGTGCATTTTAAAAACCGAATTTTTGTTTGTCTTCGTATTTCAAAGTTTTACTGGGGTGCAGGCAGTATGTGAGATTCGATTTCTCGGCTGAAATGAAGCCGATTATCAGCGATTTGGTATTTCCTTGTGCAATATAACTTTTTATAGTCAGGGAAATGATACTTCTCTGATTAAATGAATAAATTAAGTCCGATCCCAAAACGTGATGACGTTGAATAGATTCAATTGTGTGGAGCGCGGTCTCAGTTCGATGCAGTCGACAAGCCCGGAGGTGAAGGGAATGAGGTACTGGAGATGTGTTGAGCGGATCACTAGTTAATCTTTTGCACATACACGCACACACACGCTGTCGGCATTTTCTAATTGAGCTTCAGAAAAGATTAAACGGTCAGTTATCCCATCTGTTTGAAAGTGACAGAAGGCGAGTGCGAAACGGACTCAAGTTGAATCAGCCCAAAGTTAAACGGAGACAAAATGTTATAAAACAAACTGTGGTTGGCTATATTCTAAAAACTATTGTTCTTCTTGTTCGACTTAGTGTGAAAAAATGCTTGGATCATTATTTTAAAGTAACTGTTCCGAGTAACTGGGCTGGTTTACAGATATTGGTATTTCCGAATCAATAATGATCATCGCCGTATTTTATATCGAGTCCATTTGATATGATACCCTGGATAACCCAAGTGCTTCCATAGGCACAAATGGGAACTGTATCAAATGCTTATACATCAACATTTTATCAAACAACAACTTGGACTACCGTTCTGGTTATGCAATGATGCATCAACGAGAGTCGGAAGAGAAATTAATTATAGAAAAAATCAGAACTGATATTTGTCTGTTGTTGAACAAGTATTTCTTCAGCGTCGAAGAATTCGAAAACCACTATTACCGTTGTAGGTGAGCCGCCCAGTCCGCGTGTGGTGTGTGTGTGCCGACTCGTTGCTCTGGCATTGTCAAATCATATTGTAACAACGTTGGCAATTTGCCGGTGCGTTTGTGTGTGAGTCGTGTTCATGTCTCACTGGACCTTTCGATTCATTCTGCATTCTCCTCTGTTTCAGATTGTCAGTTCACCCTCTCCACGGAGAACCTCCTATCTGTCGACGGTTCCAGCCCACATCTAGACTCGACCCACTTGTGGTTTTCTGGTGTATCCGTTCACGGGGGACATCCTGGTGCATGCACGAGCCAAGCATCTCACAATATGAATAATCCAAACAAAGTGATACTGGATGTCCCGCTTTGAAACTATAAATGACCAGGTATTAGTTATGGTGGATTGCTTTTCCTACTTCGATGCCTCAGTGAGTAATGAAGGTAGAGCAATAATGGAGATAACCGTCCGCATTTCCAAGGCTCAAGCAACCTACACAGGACTGAAAAACCTTTGACGTAGACACCACGTTTCATTGTGGTTGAAGGGTCGCGTATATTGTACTGACGTTCGTGCTGTTCTGCTTTATGATTGTGAGACCCTGAATTTGGAGTAAATATCCATCGAGTAGAAGTTTTTCGATAATTGTTGCTTACATAATTTGGCTCACATGGAATGTAGCGAACGGGTTAGTAAAGCGCAGATTAACCACCGTGTTTGGGAGATTATTGCGGATAAAATTTTTCAGCACATCGAATTCAGATTAGTAGGCTTCGCTGGTTAGGGCACGTATTGCATATTCCCAGCTATCATCTGTCGCACCGCGCCTCATTCGCCCTAACCGCTGCGGTCTGGAGGAAACCCGGCGGAGGTCAAAACCTAATGTGATGGAAGACGGTACAAAGAGAGTCCTGTTGATCGACCGAATCAAGACTGAGGCTCATCCGACCGGACGCGCAGACGCAGCGGCGGAAACTGTCTCGCGAGACAATATTGACTGCCACCCGAAACCAGCGAATCAGAAATTACGGCCAGACAGACAATCCGCAGCTGACGGGTAAGATACCCAACTAATGCCACAACGTCGGAGCTGTCGATCAACGCATCTCGTGCCGCGATCCGGTCAACACAGTCGGAATGACACGCGGAAGAAGAGGCAACGTACGTGCCGAGTGCGGACCAAAACCAACAAGGAATGACCCACAGAAAGAGGCATGAATCATCCTGTCGCGCGGTTGAGAATTGATGGTAAATAATCGAACGCATACACCGTTTGCTTTTGAATTGGATCCATAGATGTTTTTCCCAACCAGATCGCTTTCTCGCTACAATAACACGGAAACGAGGCACTAAGAATTAGCCTAGGTAGCCTGGGTGTCTCAAGTCTACCAAGTTTGAGTCCGAAAGACTTTGCAGCTGGTTCGTTGGAGACCTTGAGGATACGATAACGAATAGGCCGCAGTGACGTTGCCATTTCTTATTAGATCGGATTACTTGAAACAGTTCGTATGCACACTTATATCGCGTACTCTGTGTGATGACCTTAGAAGCTCACTTTCGTTATCCTCCCGCAAAACACACCTAATCCCTGTCCCCTTTGTATGCATTACGAGGTTGGTAGCAATCAGTGAAGTTCGCTTACCACTGTACCACTGTACGACGACGACGTTGATGATGATAATGACCAAACTATGACCCTGTCCATTCACAATACACATGACTGGAACTCACCATAGACCGGTGATGCGAATTCTGTACAAGATTGCTCCGATTTCTCCACGACAGGAAGCCGTTTGGGGAAAAATAGGTCATTAATGCGATACCGTCTTTGATTCATTTCTTCAAGCAGTGGATTCGGAGAATGGTCGATTGCATGATGAAATGCTGAGAATTCATGATCGATCAGCTGTTTCGCGGCCTCGTATAACTACAACGAACGGGGGAATATAGTTACCTGAATCAAACCAATTGACACACAGAAGGTGCAAATTAAGCTAGGACGTCATCAACTTAGAACAGCGACAACACCGTTATCACCAACGACAACAAAATGACACGATATAAAGAATGAACACACAAACACCGGATGAGTTTAACGTAGAATACAGCGGTGAACAGGCTGTTCTCCAGCTATTTGTGATCATGAAATTTAACATAGATAACAATACGAGAAACAGGTGATAAATTACACTCCGTGAGATTCAGACCTGACTCCGGACGTGCGTGTGACTAGCTGATGATCGTGTCAAATGATAATGAAATGGTTTAGGAAGATAAGATAGACCAAAGGAGGTTTCCGGGGTTACAGGAGCGAGGGCTTAACGTTTTTTGGAGCAGTGCTTTTCCAGTGTTTTAGTTCATTCTTCATTTGCTCCGAAAAAGCACGATGCATGTCAGTTAGTCCAGAACGTCGTCCCTGAGCCTCAACACATTTTCTCAATTTGTCAGTTTAAACTTTGCTTGAATAGGAGCGACAGGGTCACAGACCATTAAGACTGAATGCCTCAGAATGACACCGGCAGACAAAATTTTTCCATGTTAACGACATATAAAACACTGGAGGGGAGGGAGTTATTACTTGTAGTGAATGATGAAATTCCATTTTTGGATACGAGTGGTAAATGGAAGGATGATTCGGTAGGCGAAGGGATATAGATATACGAACAGAAAGCGGGTGTCCACATTACAACGAGATGGGGATTCTGTCACCGTATGGGTCTTTAGTTGTAGATCTGTGGAAGACATGTGCAATTAACTTTACTCACGTTTCGGTCAATTGTACTGTCCAAATTGTAAAAAGACAATGCACACAGAAATAAGCGTTTACGACCAATATCAAATCAAATCAAATAGGCGAGAGGAAATAGGCTCAAGGCAATTTGTGGTGCAAGCAAGTAGCTTCCTCGAAAGATCTCAGGGTACAAAATCACAAGCTGTGGTATAATTATGAAAAAACAACGAACCGTTTGTGCAGAATTGTTTATGTATTTTGTGGTTAAATGGAGCAAATGGTTTACGAATTCTAGAGGGTAGCTTTTGATTTTATGTTCAAACTGGAAAGGGTCAGATGATGTATTGTCATACATTTAAATGCGTTTAAGGATGTACTTCTTAGTTAGTACAGGACACCTAGGGTTTATTAGACAAAGTCACTTCTCTGTTACCAAAAAGTGAAGCTCTTTGAGAACGGTAATCTTGCTCAGTAAACACAGAGAGTCAGGGATTGAATGTTTATAAACGTATTCGTTTATCCAAAGAGTTGTAGAGATCGTAAAAGTAGAAAAGCACCTGGAGGTGGAAGATTTGTGGCTGCGTTCGGAAAGTAATGACCATCAGGTAAAAAAATGGGTCTTGAAGGCCAAACCTCAGTGCGAATAAATTTTTTTGTCTTTGTGGAAACAGAGACTTTTAGTTCAAGGAAGAGCTGATTACAGCTAATAATAATTACTTTTTCAATCCATAGTTCCCTCAACTGGTCGAGGTACTATTTGCAGGTTTTTCAATCACTAATCATAAAATTTCGTGCACCGGTTTTGTCTGCTATCTCATGACTACTCATTTGGATAAAAGAGCGGAAGGAATGTTGGAATCTCGATAGCAAAGTCAAGGTGAAGATAGATACTTTATTTGGACTGGGGCTGCGAAATGCCACGATCAGTGAACTCAAATGACGGTCGTAGATAGCTATGAGCATGATTAAAACCATCCACAGTCATACTACTCGAAAGCAAACTCTACCGACTGACATGATATGTCGGAGTCATGATCGGTTCAAAATAGCACAAGAAGCTGAGGAGATTTTTCCCATCCTGCTCCTAGTCAGAACCTTCCCTATTCATCAACGCGATCAAGCTATAAACTTATAAATGCATGCACAAGGTCAAAATCAAAGTTTTATTATGGGAATAACTTACAAGCTCGTGCTTCTCTTGTGCCCATTGGATATTTACAGAGATGAATCATTACACGTCGCCAAAGAAGTCACTTAGAGTTCCGAGTATGAGATAATGGAGAATGTAGGCTTCAGTGAATTTACGTTTGCTTTCAGTGGTTCACGCATGTGAGGTGTGCAAGGTTTCATCGAATCTCTGCTTGAAAGATTCAATAGTGGGTGCACAAACGACGTGAGATGGAAGAGTGCTCCAAGAACTATATACTTTGACTGCAAAACCTGGCGTCGACATTCCAGTCGACACTTTGGATTCAGTAACTTGAAACGGTGTCCCTTAAGGTGTACCTTGTTCGATATCACCGAAAGCAGGATTACAGGTCTGCAGTTAGCGGGGTCACTACGACAACCACATGTGTATATTGGCGAGATAACTCCCTGTTTCCACGATTCTGGGAGGTTGCTTTGTTGAACCTTCGTTGAAACAGAATGGCTAGCGGTTCGAATATGTGATTCATCAAAAAGATCAGGGACTTCGGGTGTTGTCCGTATCCGGGGTTGCATTTTTTCTCAAAGCCATTAGTTTTGCTTTGAGGTTTGTAGCAGTAAATGATACGTAGGTTAGTGAAGGATGTGGAACATGATGCAACCGGGAAGGTATTTGCAAACCTTCAACCTGCAGTACTGCGAAAACATTGGAAAAATGAGTTCTCAGCACTTCAGCCGAATGGAGTTGACGTGTTTGTACAACAGCTTAGGGTTAGAAATGAATCTCTTTGCTAGCGCCGCTTGGTATTTCACTTTATTCTCACAAATCAGCCTGGTGCAGTGGTTCCGCAGCATACGATAATTATTCCACGTGACAGCATTCGGAAGACGTTTATAATCTCGCCAGGATAAAACCCTCATAGATAACCATTTCCTCGTGCGGCTTCGAATGGATGAATTTCGGATGCCGGATTTGACGATTAAACCTGTCTTAGTCACTGATGCCATCAGGTTTGTGAGACTTTCAATAAAGTTCTGCCAGGCGACCAACTGATTGGATTCTTCATCATAGATAACCTACTAAGTAGAGAGCGCCAAGTTCTTCAACAGTGTTTAGTACATGGATCTACGTGTGTTATCTGGGGAACTTCCTTGAATGGAAGCGTAACAACCATATTTAAATGTGAGTACTGCGTGATCGCTGCGTCCTAATGGGGGGAAGTCACATTGACAGACTCTATCATTAACTCCTCATTGGTCAACACTAAATCCAGTATGGACGGCGACTTTGTGTTTCCAAACCTGATGGCCACCTTCACATGGTTGCATAGTGGATGCGAGTCAATCAGCCGTTTGAATTGATGTTCGAAAAACGGACGGACGGTTGTTGATTTATTGAGATTAGGACAGTTGAAATCACCCATTAAGGGAAAATGGGTAAATTTTTACGCAAGAATATGTGACATAGTTAGTAAAAGCGTTTCATTGACCGTCTTCAGGAATGATGGGGGACGATAAACTACAACAATCAAAAAATCATCGTGTTTGGACAATTTCAACCTACACCACAGAGTGTCAGGTGTGGAAAGTGGAAGGTAGATTTGCTAGCGATCAAGATTGTTTCGATAGTAGAGTAAAACACCACCGCAACGGGTAGGACGATCGCCTCTGAGTAGAGACATCTCTGATAAATATAATTCGGAGTCCGAAATATCAGCTGTGAGCCAAGTCTCTGTAACAGCAATAACATTCATCTGAACAGATATAAACAGGCGCTCTCTTGTTCGGTATCTCGCCAAATAACTCACAAACCTTGAACTCCTGGAAGAAAATCTGCGCAAAATGGTAATCTACACCAGTGATTAACACCACAGTGTGTCATTGGTTTTGTGATATTGCTCTCCGTTTCACTTCTTATTATATTTCCCATTTTTTGTTATTGACATACTCTGATTATGGGATTGCTGAATATCCACCCCTCGTGATGTATAACTCAATTCATCGACTTGACTTCACTTGACTACGCCGAGTCAATAGACAATGTATGCTGATGATTGAATGACTTAAAGATTACACCAGCTGATTTATCTCAAAATTAAAGAAATCTTTGAAGGACGATCTTTTCCGAAACTTGTTTGATACCGCAACAGAAAGGCACCTTCGAGTTAATGGCGATAGCGGTAAGTAACAAAAATTGACATACCATCGCAGAATAAAGAACAGGTAGAAAAGAAACCGGCTTCCGTTGAGCTAAGGGCACAAGAGGAGTTCACAGAAACGCAAAACAGTAAAACAATCCAAGTAACAACCAAAGAAAGCCCGTTGATAGACAGGTGATGCAAGACATGAGGTCCGTCACCCAATCGTTCTGCGGGGGCAGTACAGATGAATATATATGCATACCTGATATCGCCAGGACACAAATCAGTTCGTGTGTGAATAAAAATATGCATCTTTAAATGTCAACAAATCTATCCCGTATTAATCCGATGTTATTCTAATTGTAACTTTACCTGAGTCCTTTAGCTCCATATGCACACGGCTCATACGGCTCTCAGTTTTCTATATCTTCGTTCTATTCCTTCATCCAAATCGATGACCAGAAAGTCAGAAACCGTAATAGTGAGAATATCAGGTGGTGAAAATTATTTGAATAATAGCACAGATAGTACTCACACGTTGTGGTCGTAGAATAGACCAAATGAAGAACACAAGATGTTCACTAACGATCTGACCTGCCGCCACTCCGGGCATTGGACGCAGAAATGTGATGGGACCCTTAAACGGGGAACAGATTTGAAAACAAACACCATTTGGTTAATTACCTTTGAGCTTTGAATTTGCATGGTTAAGAGTCCTTTTTCGTGGTTATTGATTTCTCCCCCTTGGACAGTTAGTTGTGCTGTGTATCACATTTGGGTGAACAAGTTTTGCAAAACTAATACTTATGTCACTTAGGCTTACCACCGCGAATCAGAGTTGGGAAAATTTCACGGAGGTCACCAAATAAAAGCACAGATAATATGTGAATTTTAAGAAACAAGCATGAAAAAATAGACCAAATACACGTTTCTCGTTTCTCGGAATGGGATCTAAAGGGTCAGACACCCGAAGTAAAAGGCCTTAGTAAGGAAGAGATACCTGGGGCATTCTTGTTTGGTTTCTGATCCGGCCACGGTTGACGATTCGAACCATGAAGCGTACTTAGGTGATTTGAAGCTCGATTCGGTAGTTCAGTTTTTACGGTCATCAATCATGCATTTTATTGCACCGCTTTTGGTTGCTATGTTTTGGCCGCCCGTTTGGATAAAAGAGCAAAAGGAAGATTGGAACACTGAGATCGCGGTCTAACAGAAGATAGGGATTGGATGCAAGAATATTGAGTATCGCTCAGTGTCTCTAATCCCCGGTTACCATGATATCGAGGTTACCATAGAGGAAACCTACACGGGATCAATATGACCCACACTTCTGGTATGGTTTCATGCTAGGTCTTAGGTTAACCGCCGTTGACCTTTTTCCATCCACTGCGTGTCTCATAAAATATCGCACGCCGTGGTAACATATTTGGTGACATGCCCAACGCATTTTCCAACCACCGTAATCTATAGAGGTCACTGAGTCACATAGGTCCGGTTAGGCTCCCTAAATGGGAACCTCGAGATTGTGGTAACCGGAGGTTAGAGACACTGAACGATATGGCTGGATGTCGCAAACAGTGGTGCTCATGCAATTACTCAATATTCTTGCATCCGTTGTCTATATGATTTCTCTATCTTCTCTTTGACTGCGATCTCGACAGTCCAATATTCTTTCTGCTCTTTTATTCAAACGGGCGACCAAAACAATGCAACCAAAACCGGCGCACTAGGATGCATGGTTAATAGTTGTAAAAACTGAAACTGATTGCTTGTTCCACTGACAGACCGTAGTTACCTAAACCTCTGCGCCCTACCTCATCAGTGGCTGTTCGGTTTCACCACCACACTCATGCAATGCTGCGTAGACAGCAATGTTAGATCACCGATGGTCTATGTTTAATCCTGTTCCCGCAATGGCCAAGTCTCTGTACCGTAGATCAGAACTGACCTAAATGCTGCAGCATATACTCAACCGTTCACGAACAGCCGGATGTCGCGGCGGTGTCACAAATGTCTTAAGTTAGTCAATGTCACTCGGGTCTTCTGTAGACGAGCTGACAGACACTTGATCCGTAAAGCGTTCACCGGGTGAGATATAGCTGCCCAAATGACAAAACTTGATCACTACATATTATGTAACATGGAAACCTATATTCGGCAAATGGTATTCATCCGGCGCAGTGACACAAAAAATGATGGGAACTCACATTCAACATTTCGTCCCAAACGTTTCTGTTCTCCTCAAGTGAATGCAATAAACCACGGAGTTGTGCGGAACTCGATTCAATCTCTTTTAACAAATCGATCATCTGGGGTTGCGCGAAGGCGAAAAAATTGTCAGTAATAGGGCAAAATTCAATGGCATAAAATCAGTAACACATTTATACTAAATATTGGTCAAAATAGCAGGTGTGTGCACGACGGAAGTGAACACACAAGATATTAGGATCCTTCTTATGGCTGGTCTTACCTGTGTGAGGTTTGATGACCGGACTATTACAGTATGACCCTTGCAACTACATTGAGACCTGTTTATCTTGTCTCGAGAAAACATTTTATTTGAATAAAAAACAACGACTTGCTCTCCGTTCCGTACTTATCTCTTACGATGTATGATCACGATCCCAAAAGCCACATTACTCAATCAAACCTCCAGCGATCTTGCTTTGTCGGTTCAGTTTCTGCTTTTGTTGAAATCATACAACCACAATGATTTGTTCTCAGTAGGTTTCAGCCCGATACATATAAAATATTAAGATAGGTAATCATCGAGCAGACAAAAATAAAACTGAAAAAACCAATGTAAATAACTACGCATGAGTGTGCCATTTCCGGTAGCTGTAGTTGACCTCCGACAACACTTTCAACATTTTGGCCCGTCAAAGTGTGAGTTGCTGTTACGAGATTGGGCTGTCCCAGGTCCGAACCTCAATCCTACTCAGATGAGAATAGAGAAAGAAATAAAGTTTGCTATTCCGACAATTACATATCAATTGACGAATGAATCCCTGTTGAAGTGTCAGCTTGCAAACGTAATGCTCGATTGAGGTTTATCAATCTCGAGACAATTGTGCTGCCACCAGGTGTAATCAATTCCACATCAACCTTTTGTGTCCCCCTTTCTCCTTCCAATCTCGTTGATCTAATCGAGATTAATTTCCCTTTGTAAGCTTGACAATTTATCCACCAATCTCTTATCTATACATCCTTTCAATAATGTGAGCACACGCGGAAATTCCTTCGTCTGAACCTTCTTGAGTTCCGATAATGGTGCACTTCAGTTCCGCTCCGTTTATACAGCCATTGAACTAATACAATCTCGTGACGGTTTTGATTACTGGCTACACATTTGAATGAACTACTTTTTAGAGGGTTGAATTAAAAAGATCGATGCAGTAAAGACAGCATAAAATTGGGCGCAGTTTGCGAAGAAATCAGGTAGATTGCTTGCCGCTTGTCACAATTTTCACACATATCACTCAGTATGTTTGACGCAGCAATAGGTGAACAATCGTTGTCATTTGAAAAAGAAAACGTGTTTTGTTCGTGATAGAAAATAGAAGGAGGACAACTGGATTCTTACCGAGAGGGTTTTATGACAAACATCCTAGTTGTTTGAATAATAATGCAGCATGATGAACCAAAATTACGTCAATGAATAGGCAAGTCAGAGGATAAGCACTGCGGGAGAGAAATTCCTTTCGTATACTGTCATAGTTCATGTATGTATAGCATTAAACAGGATAGACAAGTGAGGTGAATTAGGAAACTTAGTTACGTTTTGGTGTATGTGTGTATGTGTGATGCACAGAATTGGCTACAGCCAAGGAAAGTCAAAGCTAAAGGTCATACGCTTTAGAACAAACAATGTGGATTTGCTGTGAGCGTTCGATAATGCTTCGAGTATTCTTAGTCTACTGCTTTCTTATTAGTTTTACTTCCTTTTATTGCATATACAACGATGCAATTTTCCGCGAGGGGAAGTGGCCAATCAAAGGGTTACCATTCAACACAAAGTGTAAATTCGGCGGTGGTGGTGGGGTTCGAATACACATCCTCGGGGTGATAAGTTGGTAACGTGTTACCACCGGGCCACCACTACCCGGTGTTTGTATGAAAATGCTTTGGACTAATTTCAGGGTCGGATGAGATTCGTTGAGTAGGACCTACGTACCGGACCATTTTCGTTATCAATCCATTGAAGATGTTGCGGCGTGAATGGCTCCAACAATCGAAATAATCGCTCCAACCAACGAAATTCCTGTACGTGTTCTGGATCGAACCACAGGCCTGATTGTTTCACTGGTCCTGAACGAAGTCGACTTAAACCAATAGCCAGCTTCAGTCGAAACTCGACCCCAGACGGATGGTTCCATGCATGCTGGGCACCGGTTAATGCGTTGACCGCTACATTCAAAGCGAGTCGACTCAGATGCTGTTTGAGGCGTGTAAACGAATAAGCAGACAAGGTATGTTGGATCACAAATGTGTGACATACAAACATGATTCGGTTGAGTTTAGCTTTAATAACTGAGGTGTGATTTGATCAACGCATTACTTAAAACATTCCATTTTTAAATTCCGTGAAAAGTAATCGTTGCTCAGCAAACGTTTGTCCCCTTTCGACCGAATCGTTCATGCGTATGTCCGTTGCAGCTCTTGCAGACAGATGAAAGCGCACAGAGTGAATAGGGATGGTTTTAAAGTAATCGGTTGGTAGACAAATCACGTTTCTTGGGGAAAAGTTACAGCATGATTTATGTCAAGCACGCATCCCAATAACTGAAAAGACAAAACGTACGCGTAGTATTCGAATTAGGTACAGATTATGGATTCCGAATCCTAGTGGCAGCACAAGAACAGAATCGCACTCGCAATTGTACACAGGAAAAAGGTTACAGAACTGATGATGATATTAAATACCGTGTAAATAGAAACATCATTGGCCAAACGGTTATCAGCCGATCGCCCTTCTTCTGGTCACACAGCTTCTGTTTGAGCTGCATGACTGTTGATTGGCTGATACCGTTGGTCTGTGGCCTTATGTCCAGAAACTGGATTGCTTGAATGTTGTCATCTCGGAGGTCTGACTTACCATAGCATCATGCAGCTGTTATAACGTGGTTAGGTCGCACCAGCAATGACAACTCACTGAACTGGGGAACACAGCTGACCAGCACTTCGCAACTTTACAAATCATGTTTCATTTGCGCTATATACGATGAAAGTGGCTAAGCGACTGAACCAAATGCCTCGTTGTTATCATGCCTCTTGGAGCTTGGTCTGACGAAACGGAATCATGAAATCCCCTGTTAGCACCGTTAGGGATATTTCTGTCATTGATCGAAATCTTTCAGTACACATAACGCAAACCAATCCGGTCTATTCCGTTCGGGTAGTCCTACAGGATACAGTGAAATCAAAAAGTGTTTTATAATCATACCAATGCAATGTGATATTACGTTATTATGCACACAACATAACAATAAGCCGGTTGTGTGCCTTGTGAATTGACCTGCGAACGAGTTTATTTGCCAAGCGACATTACTCGCAAAGTGGTCTATGGGATCTTGCCAACAACACATTATACATGACACAGTTTGGGCAATGGTGATCGAGTGTTTAGGTCTCCAACTAGTGATCTGGGTGTCCCGGGTTCAAACCGCTCCACCGCTGCCCGACTTCCCTGTTTGTATTTTCCCCATGCAGCCTCTGTATGGCCGCAGCCTCCTTCCTGAAAGTTGATTGTGCACTTGTGTATTCAATAAATAGAAGAAGGAAGTAAAAAAACATTTATTTTATTTTACATTTTTAAAAAGATAATGAGTAGACTATTCACGTAATTGGGTTTTATTTCCTTTCAATTTAGTATGCGGGTTTGATCAAGTGCCAGTTATTTCTCTCTCAGGAGCTCAAGGACCAGTAAAATGTCACGGCTGGGCAAAAGACGTGTTTTGGAGGCGGACAGTTACTCCGTTCGCGGTGGCTAGAATGCGAAACCTCCTGTACTGAGACAGTGTTATTTTGACTTGAGATTGGGTGTATGCTAGTCAGACAATCACACGATCGATCGGTTCCATTCATTAATCGGTCGGATGGTTCAGCTGCAATAAGGGACGTAGCGCTTGCCCAGCTAACCGAAGAGAGAAGATTTAGCATGCCAAGTGAACTTCAACCATGCACAGCAGGAGTGCCATCATCTCTCGGTTGCGCAACAGGTGACCACTAGAGCATCACAAATATCACGAATCGGTGTGCAAACAGTCTCGTGTCAGGTTGAGGGATTCCAAGTTGCGCGCAAATCGTGGAGAAACGATCCAATCAAATCGCGGATGGGGTCAGAGGGAATTTACTTGTCTAAGGTTACCGGTGCGAGGGTCGGGACGATGCGAAACGAAGGAAAAATTGTATTATTGTCTGTCATTAGCCGTGTCACCAAGGTGCGAAACCATCATATTTCTTATCGACTTAATTGCCTTTCGGTGATTCTGCAATCTCTTTTGCCCATTTGCTTGTTCTCGTGAAACAAATGATAATGGCCGCACGAGTAGACATCCCCGAGTCCACCCACGAGAGAAATTGTGCATGACTAAGAAGCGTGGCAAAGAATTCGATGACAAGGGCGGTGAGGTTCTATTCAGCAAATGTGACGGGAGAGATTCGAGCCCAATACTGCGTCTAAATGGTACTCTTTTAGGCACATTGGAGATGATCAGTTTTTCAGTTTTTACAACCGTTAACCATGCACCGTCTTGGAAATGATCACTGTCCATTTTAATCTTTCCTTGACTAGGTGCCACAAATTTGAGTTTTCTTTTCTTGAAAAACCCATCTTTCTGTCTCCCGGTATGTGACTGCTTGAGTATAAAAATGGTCTAACAACAGAATGTTCCGGTTGCCTGTATGTTTTCACACCGACACATTATTCCGAATGAAAATCACAATTAGAAGTCATGATATTCAGGGCTGTTTTGTAATCTGATTTTTCTATTCACAGCTTAAAAACGTACGCAATACGTTATGAACTCATATACCACACCTACTACATCTACAAAATCACGTCATACATGAACATGTTTCATTTGGAACGTTTTCCGAAATAGGCTTTTCGTGTCATACAACAGTAAAAACCCATTTTTCCATAGTATCTCGTTAAATTCTGTCGATTGATCAGAAGGGATAGTTTTATGCGTTTAGCACAGCATAGCGTTTGGCACAATCATTTGTCGAGCGCAAAACACATTCCGTTGATAACAGGGGATGATGCGTGTCGAAACAAATAGTGTATAAGTGTTGAAACAAAACAAAACCTGTTGAACAATAGGCTGGTTGGGATCGGCATTTTAAGCATAGACCAATGCATCACCATTTACAACGCGTTATTATGCCAAATGATACGAACAGAATAGGTTATGATTGAGGGCCAAGAGATAGTCTGGCGAATTCGGATAAGAAACGGTCGAGGGAACCTAGAACAATTAGAAACCATTTTGAAGCGGCGGGAAAAGAAGAACCATCATTTCATATCCTTCTCTAAGAGACCGTTCTGGGCACTCAAAAAAAAACAGCTCATGCAAACATTAGGGTTCCCTGCAACTGAACTCCTAAAACATAACCGATCAATATGTACCCTAACAGGTTATAATGAAATCTGGATGAAATTCACCCAATCCGCCCAATTCAACATAAGCCCACCATCGTGTGCTCAATGGGAATGAATATAAGAAACCAAAAAAATCTTGTTTATATATATGTATATATGTATATATATTCAGTTGGACTGCTAATCCAAAATAGCTATTACTAACTTACCCGTAGCTGCGCTGCTTCTGGGTTCTCCGTTTTCAATACATTCTGATCCACTCGATACGCCTCAATGACCTCCCGAGCACATTCAGTCACTAATTGACATAGTCGAGAACACGGAAAGCGCATTTGATATGCCAAAGGATCATTAATCAGAGATAATAGAAGAGTCAGATGTCGAATGGTGTTTACACGCAAACCTCTGGCTCCAGTGAGGGCAGCATTCAAATCTCGTTGCCTTTCCAGTCGTTGCCGTTGCGTCTGACAATGACGAAGACGCCTCTGAGTTGCAGTATGTGAAGAGATTAACTGGACCATGTGAATATGGAATTGGGTGAGTGTGGCCAGGTCACCACGTTGAATACTCCGGGTCAATGTCGATGGTACACAATCAGTTTCAATCAGTTTGGATAGGTTGATCAATAATTCACACCACTTTGTCTGATCAGAGGAGTAAAACACAATTATTATCAATTTGAGGGAACGAATAATTCGGAACAATTAGTTAGATTATGAAAGTTTCCAAACGAGTTATAATCCTGAAATGCACGAGATGCGATACCTGTAAAAAGCTCGCAAAGAGGAGTTTTGCTATCTCGTGTATATTTAAAATGAGATGCAATCTAATCAGCTGTCCGTAGTTCGCGTGGATAGTGTGTTTTCATCCTACACGGGAGGTTCCGGGTTCGACTCCCAGTTGGTTTGATGGATTCACTCACTGCTGATGAGACCCAACCAGTTCGAAACAGCTGTGCAGTGATTCCTAGCTTTCAAGCATACGCCTCGATTATACGACGAACTCATCATATAATAGTTATCACATTGAAGACCTTAACAATTATCTCACAGCTGACTTGTGTTGAAGGATTCCAACAGCTCACATCAATGCCAGTAGACACAAGTGACTTAATCCAACAATCTGGATGTGTGCTTCATTGTGTACGTGTATTTAAGATTATGATTGCGTAACACTGGAGCTAAATTCACATTAAATCTAACATACTGAAAGAGATAATCCTTTCAGGATACTCTTAGCCATCACACCAGTTAACAGACTGTCGCAGATATTTTGTTCAGAAACTGAGAATTATTCCAAATGAGGCAACGTTGTGTTCAACGTTGATTAGCTATCTGACTTAACCCATAAAATAAAAACGAACTGGTGAGTTTTCAAATTGCACGAGAGTTAATTTATTCGTCACAGGGCAGGGGCAAATAGAACCCAATTTTGTATTCAAAACGTTCCAAATTATGGAAAGCAGTTCTATTACAGTGAAATAACACTCTGTGCTAAAATGTAAATCCTAAGGAACATTAATTTTCCGAAGATAACATGTTGTTTTCATACCTGTTAGGTCTTTAAATGTAAGAGACATTCAGCATGAGTTTAACCATGAGGCAGATAGGAACTGATGGTTAGTTAATTTCATTCTTTCATTCGCACCGTGTAAAACGTCGTGCGAATGACCACTTGCCTTGTTTCGTTGCACTTCCTGGAGCAACTCGGATTCTTCACGGCGCAATGACTGTACACTGTTCGTATCCGTTGGATCCAGTTCACACAGTGTCTGAACCAATGCACCAGCACATTCCAACGGTGTCAAGGTCATATCGAATGGGATTGGAACGAAATGTGTTGACTGATAGCTCACGTGGAGCAAATCTACAAAGAAGAAAAGAAGTAGAATAAGAATTTTTTTTAGGTGAGTAATAACAGTAGTGGCATCAGTCTTGTGAGGTACTGCTCACACTTATGATTAGTATGATTGGAGTGCACAAAAGTATGCGATTGACGGATTTTCAAAACGATCAAAAATGAATGTGACCTGGTGGAGCAAATTACTATGTTGAAAAGTGTAACTACAGAACTTTCAAATGAATGTGTGTTGTGCACACAACTGAAGAGAGAAACGCGAAGCACAGCTGAATTCAATGCGGTTTTGTGATAATGCTTGTTCTCGCTCAGATAATATTCCTAAAGGGAACCGAGTGCATGAAATCTTTTACAGTAGTGCCTTCTAACCGAGAAGTTTTATTCAGTGAACAGCGATGTTTTATTGTATCGATACCATTACCGTTGTTCGTAATGAACATCTCTCCTCAGCAAAGCCCTGCTTTGGGAATATATAACACGAATATTAGTTTATTAAGTTCTTACACCTCCACGTGCCTAAAATGCATCATCTGTTTTTCTAGCTCTTCATTTCCAACTGACTCTACTTTCCTTAACCCAGTTACCCAGTGTCTATAGAGTGACTCCTGCCAAAGTCAAAGTTTTAATATGGGAAATACTTACAGCGATTGCTTCTCTTGTCCCATGGAGTGTTTCGCAAAAAAGGTTCATAGAAAGACAATGGATATTACAGATTTTCTTTAGGTTATGTACTGCTATGGATGTCGGAATTCAAGATTCAACAGTATGTGCTTGAAAGAATCAGTTTAAGGAGCAGAGGTGGAAAGGAATGTCACACACTGCACACTCTGAAGGCAAATGAACGATGCTGACATTCTAGTCTCCAGTTTTGGAGCACTAATTTGAACGAGTGTCTCCACAGGTGTGTGTTGGGCGATAAGGCGAACAGTGAACGACACGGGTGATCAGGGTTCTGAATTATTTGATACAACAAAATCAAGTCTCTTTGAATACGGTGATGCTGTGTGGAGCACAGCTATAATGATTCAAGTCTTGGAATGCAATCTCCTGACTATTTTGTTGTTGTTGATGTTCCAGAATCTAATGATCGCGTTGCAGCCATAGATTCCATGCTTGAATGGTGTACTCTTTGTGGGGTCAAATTTAAGCTGATAAAAAACGTGAGAACAGCATAGGTTTCAATTTGCCAAATACTCGCTTCAGCGAAGCAACATGTCATGCGATGGACGACGCCCTGGAGCAGTTTGAGGAACAAGTTAGGTTATATTGAACAATGAGACCGAAGTCCTTGTCAATCGAGACATATGGAGGTTGTTGATACCCCAGTAAGTACGGAAACCGAGTTCTGTAGCGAAAGGGATACGATCGTATATTTTGATAAAGTGAATGTGATGTCGTTTTCGATCGATCGATTGATAAGCAACACAGAGTCAAATTCCTGGGTGTGATCAGTGACAGTAATCTCTGGTGGTCCACACACATTTACACTTGTAGGGAAAACCAGGGACGCCTGTGTTTTCAGTTACGGAGACTCAGACAATTCCAAATCCCAAAGTCAGTCTTGTCCTCTACTGTTCAGAGCAGAGCGGACGAAGTGGTCCGATGGCATTACAAATATCGGGGAGTGGAAGAAAAAATCAAGATTACTTGTTTGTTAACGTTAGCTGATGATATTGTAAACTGTTGGAAGACACAGAGAAAGTGAATGTTGTTTCACTGCTTTGTATTTTTTCTTAAAAACGATTGAATTTTTTAGAGAAAAAGAATCTGAAAATAATTAGATAGATTTTGCAATGTTTCGATTATCCACAACGAGAGAACACAAAGAAAGAACAATTTTCGGTTGAAGAGGTTTTGCCACCCTTAGAAAGCCTCATTTGGAACGTATAGATGGTTGCTTTAGTATCGATTAAAGTAAGAAGAACGTGACTGAACGTACAGAATCCGGACAGAATTCCGGTTGAATGTCGAAAATATCTGGTTAGGTTAAACAGAATAGATTTATGTAGAGAGTGGAATGTTTTGGTTCGGCTCTCCGAGAATCGTCATATTGAATTCAAGTATTGTGGGCGTTTTCCCATAATCTGGATCCGGACTAGCCAAATGATTGAGTCAAACATAAACTGATTCGAGTTTATTGTGATTATTCTGTCCGATTGGAGTTCACGTTTCTTTTTACTTTGTTCTTGATCTACTCTGACTTTGGTGACGGATTAACTAAACGCCCAAGGCTATGGAATCAGTAGTATATAAACGAATTGGTACAAGATAGACAAATGAAGCGAATTAAGAAATCTAGTAAGTATTAACCGTGTGAGTGTGTGTGTAATGCACATGATTGGTTACAACCAGGGAAGGTTCAGGGTTAAGTTCATACGCTTTGGGACGCATAGTGTGGGTTTGTTGTGAGCGATAGATAATGCCTCGAGTATCCTCCTTAGTTGGTGTTTGTCCCGATGACCTAACAAAACGGAGAACGCCTTCGTAGGGTCTACCCTGTGGCCGCTTTCAACCAAGTGAAGTGCGATTGCCGAAGTCGGTCTGCGTGATGCGGTCAGAGTGTGTGATGTGGGCTGAGTCATAGAATCACGCACATACTTGGGGATGTGTTCAGCAATTCTAGTTCGCAGTGATCGGTCGGTTCTACCAATGTATACTTCGGTGCCACTGTAACAGAAGGCGTAAATTCAATGAGAGGTAGATTCGACTGGACGACGATATTGGAGTGGGGGGAGGGGGAGGCGCCGTGTGATCGCATGGAGTCTTAATGCGGCAGCGTAATAGGTTCTTTGTAAAGCGTTTTTGCTACGCTGTGTGATAAGCTGCATTATTGACTCCCCTTTGTATGGCAGCGAGATGTGGATATTCTTTTTTGGCACCCGATAGGTAGTGTCTTGAGTCCGGTTTCTTGTGCGATTACGAAACGAACGAAAGATCCCGGATAACCATTTACCATTTAATGTGCTAGAGATATTCTCCTGTTCACTTATTATTGTGTCCTCGGTACATATTTTTGCGCTCTATAGAAGAATGTTCCATTGATGAGAAACTGTTAAAGTGAAGGTACTGCCCGGACCAAGTCTTCCTGCGGAAGATAGATCGTTGAATAGAACCGTCACTTTTACGGGTTATTAGGACATCAGGGAAAGCTAACGCACGTGTCTTCTCTACTTCACTGGTGAATTTCAATTTGCAGTGTGCTGCGTTGAATTCATTCAGCAATACAGCCATATCGTCAGGGTGATTAAAGATGATCAACACATATATGATCCCTTGATTGCCTCATCCAGCTGTGCTTGAATCATACCCATGAAAATGTCAGGTTTTGGCACTATCCGATTTTGATCGCTCCGTAGTTCTTTCAAGAAGCATGGCATAGTTGTTATGGATAGGAATGAATACATCCCCAAAATGATGGAGATCTTGGATGATAAGCACATGTTCAAACCAGACCTCCCCCTGATAATGTTCAGTTGATAGTGAAGCAGATGATACGTGAGTTAGAAATTCTCATGCTATATGGTTTTATCACTAAGGCACACGTGAAACAACTAAATGCTTTAGGTTGTCATACACCGATGCTTTACGGGTTACCAAAGACATAAACAATCTGTTCCTTTACGGCCCATATTGTCCATGCATGATTCGCCTCATCACAAACTAGCCCAGAGGTTCCTAGAAGTCCTTCAGCCGGTAAACAAAAACGCCTTAGCAATCACACATTACGTGAATCCTTTCAACTTCGTGATAAGTTGTCTAATTTGAATCTATCCGTTAAAACGATGTGTTCCTTTGATGCTACCTTATCATTCACAAATGTCTCCCTAAATGAAACAGTAGACTTCGTCTGCGAATTCACCACTGGAGAGAACATCAACCTTAGCATACTTCCGTCGCTATTGAAATCTCTCATTTTACTGTACACTGAAAACGTGCGTTTCCAGTTTCAAGGTACCGCATTTCGACAGACAGAGGGTGTGGGGACTGGTAGACCCCTTGACCCTATCCTGGTCAGGGGTTTCATACTTTCATGCTAGGGTCTTCATTTGCTGTACGCAATTACATCACTCAGTGTCTCCAAACGATAATTAGGTTGGTCATGTGGTTTCCAAACAGAAGGTCGACTGTATCCTGAATCCCGGGTTGTGGTTTTTATAGGTGCATCCTGATATGTTGGGTGTCTTTTATTTCTTTTTTTCTTTGGGGGGGGAGGGGGAGATGGTTGGGGATTGGTCGCGATTATGGAAACCATCGATTAGGATACGATAGAGTTTGGATATAACATTTTATAAGCCGTTTGAAGATTATCAGTACTAAATAGAGTTAATGTTATGTTTTACAAGCCAAAAGAAATTCATGAACAGAAGAAACCATGTTCAAAGTGATTGGTTAATTTTGTTTCTCCAGTTCCTTGTCCAAATGTTTCAATGAAGGGATTTAGTGTGCTGTTCTACTCAACTAATTCACATATTCAATCAATCAAGACCATCAAGAATGCCTGGTGTCTCTTAAGAATCGAATGAGCTAATCCAGGCTTCGCACTCTAAAAATTGATCAAGCCGTTCTCGTAAGATGGTACCCGTCGACCTTGTAGCTCAGGCGTAGGGGTTTGAAGTACCAATGCGAAATTTAGCGGTTCGAGTCCTGACAGAGACACAAAAGTATGCACTGCTAACGAGTCCGAAACAGAACGAAACAACTGCCCATTGATCACAAATTCACAAAATTCACGCAATTTAACTGACCTTCATGATCCGCAACAGGTACGTGTAGCACTAGAATTAGACGCCACTGAGTTGATATCAGCACATCTTCTGTCAAGTCACCAATCAACAAATCGACGATTCCGAATGTGTTACAATCCTGGCAATCGGTCAAATTGACAACAATCCAGTCTCCTACAAGTGAACAAAAAGCTCTGTATGGAACCAAGTATGACACCGGATTTAAAATTTTGGTTATTGGAATGCTATATACTCTTCGGAGAAAGAAGAACTGGTAACTTTTGACATATCTTATCGCGGCTCAAGTATCATATCTCTAAAGGGAATAGCACAGAAACGTTCGTGTTAAACGAACTGTCGAGGATGCTGCTGTGTGTATGTACAGTTCAATTTGAAGAATCATTGATCAAATACGTTCGTTCAATGATAGTCGCTGCTGACTTCTGGCTATCCACTTAGATAAAGAGATAGAAGGACAATGAAACTGTTGAAAACAGCGCACCGGTGAAAATTGAGGATTTACGAAGATTTTAGTAGAAAGGGTAATGAATAGATTCACGAACACCAATGTTTAACACAACCATATCACGCAGTGACTATAAGCATTGACTATTAAGATCCCAAGGTCACCATCCGAGAGACCAGAAAAAAACCAAATGTGAATATTTCTCCTGGTCAAAATTTTCGCACCCTCAAGCCCGGTTTTAGTTTGACCTCTCTTGACTTTTTCCCTCCACTAGTTGCCTCGGAAAACATTGCTCATCGTCACAATTTGATGCCATGCGCAACACATGCTCCAGAGAGCGCAGTCTGCTCCAACGGGAAACCTCGATCAACTAAAACTGTGCGCCTTTCTTCAGCATTGCTTGTTCGATTTCCTCACTCGTACACTGGCCTGTAGCATGAACTTATGCCAACCCACTTTGTCTTATCAGTGATTGTTCAAATTGTTGTTTGGCAGATTTGAAGTTTGTATGTCGATTGTGAAAAGTTCAGTAGCTTCAGTGGGATTCGAACCCACGCATGGACGCCACCTACGCTTTGTACGCTTTGCTCTACCATTAATTATTAGGAACTAAATGTGCTTTTCTACACCTCAAATGGCTTAAATCTTTTTTACTTCCAGCTGAAAAAGTTTGATTTTGACATAAGACCCGCCAACACATCCAACTTTAGCACCCTATTGATAACGTCTGGGGGGACACAAACCTGTATGTGTCGGTTTAGGCAGCACACCACTTGATTGATACGCATTGTTAGCGTTTCCTAATGAAATAAAAAATAAAATAAATAAATTCAGGAGTGAGGAGGAGGCCTGGTAACCACGGCTGAGGTGACTGAAACTCACATTTTCAATCCTGAACCACGCAATCAAAAGAAGCTAGTTCACATACTGCCGTTACTCTAGCCCTGACAGCCGATTTATTGTACTTATGGCAGCGCATCAAGCTCCTCCTATACTCCTGCCTCTATTCGGTATCATCTACCACATTCTTAACAGTCAATTATTTTGTGTCTACAGTACCTTCAAGATTCCATGCGAGACATATAGTTTCTATACCTTTTTCAGTTTAAGATGTCCGAATATGAATTTAAGATGGCCGAGTACTAATTTAAGATGTCATGTTGCTATGTGGATAGTATTTTGCACAGTACAGAGTGAAAAATTTCTATGGGATTCCTGTTTACCCAGATCCAGGTGCGTCTTACCTGCATACTGATCTATGGCCCCCAAAAATATCGTCCCACTCTCAACAAAAATATGTGCCGACGATTGCAAACGTCCACCCCCCCAGTTTACGTCGTTCACTACCACCCTTTTTGTCCCTAGAATACTTCATTCATGAGATTATGAATGGTCGTGGTGAGCACTGTTCAGTCTAAAGCTCTTTTTCCCCACCAAGTGAAAAATGAGGTCATCGTGTGAGAGACCCCACCGAACCCTAAAGCTCTGGTTTTTGTTTCGCATTCAACCAAGCCTTTGTCGATGGCATAACTCTGACTGAATGGTGGGTTGCATTGTCCAGTCTGTGTGTGCAAATAAACAGACAAGATCATCGTCGGTGCATATTTTCGTTGAGAGTGGGATGATATTTTCGGGAGGCTATAGATCAGTATGCAGGTAGGACGCATATGGATCTGGGTAAACAGGGATCCCATCGAAAGTTTTCACTCTGTAATGTGCAAGGTACTATCCACGTGGCAACATGACACCTTAAACTGAAAAGGTACAGTGTACCTTACGTCACTTCACCCGGCCCTCTCGTCTTAGCTCATAACTTCCATCAACATTCTAATTTGCCCACCTCGCTACCGTGTTTTTTTTTCATTTGAGCAGTATCTCCTCACCCCATCCACGCTTTTACCACTGCAAACGGCTAGCCTTGCCATATTCGCTTTCTCGACTCTCTCTTTGGTATAAACTACCCTGTAATCAGCCAGTCCGATCTACGTATTATGATCGCCTCACATGTAGCACCACTTGCTGCGATGCATCGAAAACAAGTGTACACTGCTGTTGACTGCAGAAGGTTTAGCCGATGTACCTGTATCGTAAAGCTATTTGGTTCCAAATCTCGTACAGCTTCAGTGTTTCCGTATAACATGCAATACTTCTGTGAGTAAAAATCTTAAATACACCACAAATTATATATTGTTCACAAGCCTTCAAATAAATCAAAAATCGATACGACTATTCCGTGTATCAAATTAAATTGAACTCATCTCTTGAGAGGCGAATAAATTGGCAGGTCGAGGATAATGAGCCCTATTCAGAACAGATCCTGTTTCCCACCAAGCAATGGACAAAATCCCTAATTGGTGAATTTCAACCGTAGTAATTATGTCAAATAATGCAGCATTAATAAACTGATAATTGTATTGGGGGTGTAATTTTTTTGAACGATGTTTATCATCCTTGGCATGTTTACGTATCCACTTCTCATGGACAGGATTCACTTGAAAATGCAAACACAATGTCCCAGTTGAGAGCTTTACTCCCACAGGAGTATCGTATGGTATACGGAAACATTGAAACCGTACCAGATGTGTCCAATGATTTGGCGATATGGGGCGCACATCACTTGAAAGTCTAATCGATATGTGTTGCAGCATGCAACTCCCACACCTTCTTATTTATTAACAAAGCTTTAAAGCATCAACAGTTGTAGAAAATAATTTTTTTCAACACTCTCTGACTTCAGACTATCTCCAGATGTTTTGATCTAACTCACCTACAGCGGTATGACTAAACTTGATTCGTCTAGGCTAAAGAACTACGAGTGGCGCCTAGAGTACTACGAGTTTTGGCTAAAGTTTGATGTGAAAAGGTGTAATTAACATTACACGATTATTTACTGCAAGTTATAATAATAATTATTATTACTATTTATATATACTTACCGTTCAATTTCGCAGTCCTGAACTTTTCGGCAAAATTGTCCTGTGTTAAACTCAACTCCGTAATCTCCGGCGAAGCCTGATTCCACCTATGGATTTAAAGCAGGGAGTTGACAAAGGGGAAGCCAGTAGACAAAGCAACACTCACGATACCCACAAATGTATAAGACACAGGCAAATAGACGGTACAACAAACAGGTAGATTCACATTTTGCCTATAGTCAGAACTACGAATCATTTAAAAGAGGCGAATTGGATCCAAGTGATTTCCCGGGTTTCTAACTGGTGCCAATTGACATCTATGTTATGACGCGCCTGATTACCTCACTGTCGACATGGCTAACTATCGGTGTCGAATTTCGGCTCAGCCATAGAACATATGTATTATTAGTAGATAGTTTACTGTTATTAAAAGCAATACTTTTTACAAATAGATGCTCCCTTAAATGAGATGGAAATATTAGTGATAACCGATATAGACCACTGGACAGGACGAAACAGCTGTCCAGTGCTCTTTGTCGGTTATCACAAATGTTTTTATCGCATTCAAATGCATTCAACTAGCGGGGAATTAAATATCTCCCAAAAAGTGAAACCCACACTCAAGACTACAATGAGTGCTTGGTGCGTCTGAACAATCGAATGGAATATTACACGTTTGCTACTCTAGATACCATTTAGTTTCTAGGAGCCATTTGGTGAAATGTAATTACGGGTTTCTTTAATTGCTCAAGCTTGTAAATGATTGTTGATATGAAACTCCAAATATTCGCACAATAATCAAATCAGAGTTGGACTTTCTAGATAAAGAGGTATATTTTTTGAAAAAAGAAGAGTATCGGGTAAACGCACCTGATATCACGTACACCCTCCTGGATTTCAGAGTTCAGCGCTTTGAGAACTTTCACAGTGATACAGTCAGGATCAAACACCAGCGGAATCGGTGGTAATGTGGATCGGTCCCACGGGTTCAGTGTGGAGAGGAACGATTGTAAACTAATGGCGCACTCGAGAGTTGGAGCAAGTTTTCCCTCACTCGGTGAGAGTTTGAGTTCCGCGGGGAATTGTGCGCATGTCATTGAATGCAACAGATTTGGTCGTGATTTCATCCATTCATGAAAATTGTAATGATGTACAGCCGAAGCGATTCGATCTAATCCATCACGGTCAAGAGTATTGGAAAGTTCCGCTCGCATTTCAACTTCCACGTCCTGAGAAAAAAAACAATAACTTCGCAGTCAGGAGAGTAGGTGAGAGAATTTACTCGCTAATGTCAGTTAGCGAGGCAGACGTCTAATGGGCACCCCCTTTTATAAGTGTTTGTGATTTCCGCGGAAGTTCAGCATCTTTATCTTCAAATGAGACAGCTGTACGTTCGCGCTGGTTCAAATAAAGAATAATGCTGTCCGCAGAATTTAGCTTGATCTCTTCTAACGATTTTCTGTGTAGCGCACTACATAGGTCGTAAAACACTTCAATTTCTGTTAAAATGAAAACGAATAAATGATTTTGTTGCAGAATAAAATGTTTATATCAATCAAAATACTCCCTTTTACAAAACGGACTATCCTAAGTAATCGATCAGTAAGTTTAGGATTTGAGCACAATTGGCACTACTGTTCCGCATAATTGCTCAAAAATCCGTACGTTGTATCTGATCCGACCTATATAAACTTCTCAACGGGATCACCAGAAGAGAGAGAGGTTCTTGTGGATAATCGGCTATGGTGAATAAATTGGTCTCATTTGAATAACCGCGACTGAATGAGTTAAGGTCAAGTGAAATCTCAAATCATCCTAGTACGTTCCATAGATGTGAATTCGTTCATTTTGGTGGCATTCAACCGGTACATATTGAGATGCATGCTGAATAACCACGCAACCAACACCAACACCACCACCACCACCATCAACAACAACAACAACAAAAACAACAAAATCAGCTTGTTGTTTATATCGGCGAAAACGGAACAAATATGAACAAGTTTGGTGTGCATACAGTAGGTGGCAGTTAACAAATTAGAGAAATAGATCTTGCTCCAATAATGTTTTTCAACAACCTATGGAACTGTACTAGCCTCCATGGTTATGATTCGGTGGAAAACTTTTACAACCTGATTATTTGTTTTATGAGTGTAATGGAGCAGTGGATTTGTTCATATGATGAATTCATCGTGCCAATCAGGCGTGAGCTGAAAAGCTGGTGAATAACAAAAAGCTTTTCTACCTGGTAGGTTCTCATCAGTGCAGTGCGAATCTATCGACCCAAGTGGGGCTCGAACCCGGGACCTCAGAGGTTGAACGCAAGTCTACTGACTACTAGGTCACTGGGAAGCCTTCTGGCTTCTCAGCGCATCCCTTATTTACACTACATTTTTTATAATATAAGCGAATCAAATCCTCTATTACTCTCATATGGAATATTAGTTAAAACGCATAATAATGAAATTATTTATACGAATCTAAGAACACTCTGTACGACAATAAATCGTTAATTGAAACAGTGATAAACCAAAAGTAACGTAAAATCACACCAATCTCAGTTAAGGAATGTATCGATTTATAAGCATATTGTACCGTTGAAACAAATAGATTAATTTTATAAACAAAAAACGGCTAAGGGGAGGGGAAAAATTAGAACGTACTTTTATCAAATCGATTGTCAATCGCTTTACTTGTTTCCAAACGACGGGCCTAAAAGGTAAGTTCACTTTGGATCGTAATTGGTGTTAAAACAGAAATAGATATATAGAGCGGCTAGAAAATCTATCAGTCGACACAATTCAACCAGTTGTACATTGAATTCGATTAACAGAGTTAGTACGACACACACTGGATCAGTTAAGTTACAATGTCATGCGAACAGCTCTCGTTTTTCCATCTTTGACTGTTTCATCAATTTACAATCTTCAAATGGAACTAAGAACTCTATTTCTCAGACACAATTGCTATTCTTAGAACTATATGAATTGGTCAGAGATATGAAGAATCAATAAACTCTAGAATGTTGAAAGTAAAGAACTATACAGAGCTCAGAGGTGATGTGAATGACGGGGTCTTTCCATCCATAACATAACGAAATTTATGAACTTCTCTGATATCCCAGGGCAAATGGGAATACACGTATCTTGAAACATTGAGGTACCGTTGATGTATATACACAACAACAAGAGTGTATTTCATTTTGTGGTGGGCAACGTTAGATAGACACATAGAAAGGACGGAATGTACAGTTAGAGGTATATTTACAGAGATGAGATGCCATGCAGCAGTAAAGATGTATTATAAACCAACGAAATAACAATAAACCACTTATTTTACCAGAAAGAACAGTAAAAGACTGTTATTAAGTGATTTTGGGAATAATTATTCAAAGCCAGATTGAAACACTTCTATGAGCAAAAAGCTTCTGTGATGATCCTGGCCTACGGGATAACGCTAGCCGCGGAGCTAAGCGTTAAAGTTTTCTGGACACAGAATCACAGGCCGATCGTGCCGACCAATCAGATGCTGTGCGGTCCAAACAGAAGCTGTATGATATCAAGGATACAAACACGCGATTGGTGGATGCCAGACTAACCAATAGACATATTATTTATTTCCCGTGATTGCTTTTACTTTGCGTACTACTACTTCTGTGGCCTTCTTCTTGCGTCTCGGTTACGTGGGATGCCAGCGTACAAGTGCTTATGCGAACCAGTATTTCCGTGACGTCCCTGATTCGTGATTCGTGATCTGTGCCTACTGCAAGTACTACAGCTTCCTCCATTGGTTACAAGAGAATATGAGCGTGAGTGTGCAAGTTACTGACAGATAGTTTGACTGACTCATATGGCTACAGAGTAATTTAATGTGTTCGAACTGTGGTTCGCGATCAGATTGTTTGTGATCGGTGCTTTTAGGTGAGTGTGAAGGTTAAATGCTTGCGCAATTCAGTGAATTAGAACGCTAACGACATATAATTACCTCATTTAACACCTAGGTAGGTACGAAAATCGTTTGAAGTCCTTAGCTCATCAGAGGTAATGAGATTCAACCCCAGCTACTACGGACAAAATTTACTAAACTGGACACGTGTCGGGACACAATTAATTAATTCACGAGTAAAAACTAGCGGATATGTTCAATCTGTTTGCTGCTCCATCGATCCAGTTAAAGGTCTGATATTTTTGAGACCTGAATGGAAGAATAGTGAAAAGAAAGCAGTGTCATTTTGCACACTATTCTCTTTTCTAATTAGCTTTATATGTAGATCTTTAGGTATTTACCAGTAAACGTCTAACTGATACAGTGAATTCTGACAGCTTTTTAATCCGAATGAAATGGTCAAAACTCCCTAGTTTTATGAATAAAAATCTACCTTTGTTGGGTGGGTAAGGCATTCAGGTAGACAATACGCACGGCTGTGAGTGCGTTTAACCATGGATCTGACCGCATCTGTTCCTCGGACAACTTCAGCTCACTGACCGGATCAAAAGTGGCTGATTTGAGGCTGGTCAAAATCATTTTGCTTTCGTCCAGCTGCGATTTCAACTCCTGCATGAGAGCGAAACACATTGATATGGACATCTTTTATTATAATTCCGAAAAACTGATAGGGTATGGTATTCATAACAGCACAGTATTATGTTAAAACTGACAGAGTTGCAAACTACGCACATTGATGAAGAGGTAAATTGTGATTCAAATTATGTGATTTAAAGATCATTTCGGCAAGAATACATAATAACCTAAATTCGGGAATGTTTTTCATATACTGACTGTCAGCTTTCCGATAGGGCGTGACGAAAGCGAAAGAAACAACCCACTGTCCAGGAATGTTTCACAATGATTTTTTGTATCGGCCAACCGAATGCACCGAGCAGCTTTGTTATTTCCGGAAACTTGGTGATAACGCCCAATTAGTTGTTTGCTTGCCTGCAGAACGTTTTCGTTTGAGTTCATCATAGGAACGGAGTTCGTCAAGGTTGCCCTATCTCTCATCTTTTCTATTCAACTTCATCAAGGATTTGATTATGGAAACAGCCCTAAGTTCGTGCGAGAATAATGGCATCGATTTGCTCCCACCCAAGTGGCAGACTGTTTCATCACGAGTATGCAGATTACAGCGTCTTGCTAAGTGAAGACCTAGATAAGCTGCAGGCGTTTCTCGATAGATCGGGTGACAGTGCAGCTATATTCGGTATGCGTTTTTGAAGTTCAAAGTGCAGACCGTTGCTACAAGTCAGAGTCGGTCCAACTCCCACCCTCACTCTAAATGGTGATGTTTTGTCATTTGGGGGAACGCATCACAGACCAGGTGTCAGCTCGCGTACAGAAGGCTCGATTAGCACTTGTCAACTTGAGACGTCTTTGGCACCGTCGCGACATCCAGATGTTCGTGAAGGGTCAACTGTATGCCACGGTATTTCGGCCAGTCCTGTCATAAGCAGCAGAAACTTGGCCATTAGGGAAACAGAATAAATATAGATCGTCGGTGTTCAATCGCCTCTGACTACGCAGGATTATCCGAGTCTGCTGGAGAAACCGAATGAGCACTACTGAGGTTAGGTGGTCGACCCCTGGAGCAATGGGTAGATCTCAATAGATTGCGTTGCTAGGAGTAAGTGTTGCAAGCGTGTGCGTATTGTTTGCTGAGGCAGGTAATGGGAAGTAAAAATCCAATGGTGGTCAAAATAAGATCGGCATGAGGATATGAAAATCCTAATCAGGAGTCTGGGTCACATAGGCCCTGTTGGGCTCCCTGACTGGTGACCTCGGGATGATGGTAACCGATGGCTGGAAGTCGTAAACATAGAAGTTCGTGCCTCTGCTCAATTTTCTGGCAACATTAGTCCGCTGAAATTGGGCATTTTCTATTCGACT